ACCCAGAAATGGATTAAGGGGAAGAAAATGGATGGATGGAAAAGATATAGAGAAAAGCACTGATTGTTCAGTTATGCTAAGACCTATCTCGAAATACAAATACAAACAGTTACTGTACTGAGTAAGAAGGGTTTACTTATTAAGTGAAGAAAATCTTCCCAGTGAGTCAGTGTTAGTGACAGTGACCATCCATAAAAAACAATTAAAATTCATCAACTATTTATTTAAGTGACAATCTATGAAAACGGCGATCAGACCTACAGTATGTATGGACAGTCTACTCTAAGGTTATTTATGGTACAGTAAATAACACCTCCATGTTAATTATGATATTTGCACCGTCCACGGATATATAAAGTGACAAGAAGGTGCTGTTTTATTGAACTTTTAACTCAGTGAAGTGGCTGTTTTTCCCATGTGCACATGAATGCATCGCTGCAGTCACTAACATGCGCTCAGTCTATTCACATGTAGCCTAATGGAGGTAATCGCTCTAAATAATGCACTTCTGAGCTGGCTTAGTGCCACTGGAATGTAAGGGCAGCTCAGGACAGTGCTGTCTGCAGTATCCCGCAGCATGGCATTCAACAATGGTCCTTCAGACCACTAAAAATGTAACTGTGGAAATGTGGAATAAAATACATCTAACTAGTTCTCATTCTGGACTCTCTTAACAGTTAAATTCTATCTATATTTGGGGTTAGGTTTAGGGTTTCACATGCATGTATTTTTGGTCTCTATCATGTAGAGAAATCTATGTCATAGAGAAGTGAAATGGCGAGTATCATCCTCACTCAGCCAATCAGCCCAAAGAGTCAAATATAATACACACAAACGTTACCCACTAAGAGAAAGAGAAAGACATCTCACACTTGTAAACATTTCTCTGATGCAAAGAACGTGATCTATGCTCGAGCTGTTGGCGCACAGTAGCAGAGAGTAAACAGTAAGAGAAACGGAAACTTAGTATTAGTATATTTTAGTATTAGCGCCACGAGCTGGACCAAGCGTTGCACTACAGCACAGTTGGTCTGGCACGGTTTAGAAAATAAACCCTTGTGACCGCGGGCTGTCTTCACACAATCCGGGCCACTTGGCCTAGTTCGTGCCCTTAAGTTCACTAGACTTGTTCAGGGGCTAGCACCCCAGATAGTAAAACTGTGTTGACTGGTTTTGGACTGTTCTGAGTTTTAAAAGGTCAATCACGTTTAAGAGAACTGAAGTTGACAAATGTTTACCATCTCATATTAGTAGCAAGTAATTTTGTGACACACCTAAATAATGTCATTATATACCAATCTAGTCGTCGGCTGGATTTTAGCATTTCCCAACAAGGTATTTTTAGCATGTATATTTTGGCAGCGCTGAAGCTGGCTGGATGACATTGTGACTTTGTATTTGTGATCTCAGAGACTAATGTGGGTTAGCAAGGCAAAATGCCACTTAAAATGACACAGAAGGCCACAATTGGCCTTAGGCCTGCTTCAAACAAATATTTTAGAAAGAGTTTTTTTTGTCAATTTGAGATTTTTTTAGAGAAATGTTCATCGAACATTGATACAAATGAAGGTATTTTACAAAGATCATAGACATTAATACTTTAAGAAAACATGAGCTAATAGGTTTGATGTTGATGCTTATTCACATGTTATTTTGGATGTGTGTCAAGTACTGTATACTGTGTACGCTTCAACCTGCTTTAAACCTTCAGTTTGCTTCAGTCCTGCACCGGACCTGTCCACGTTCTACAACCGCTGCGTGGCCTTGGTCCTGGTTCTGTAGCTTAGGTCCTGGATCTATAACCCATTCGTCCGTGTGGAGCGGATCCCTCTCTCAATGTAGATCTCCCCGAGGTTTCTCACTTTTCTCTCACTGGGTTTTGGAGTTTTTCCTTGCCAATGCAGTTAGTGTCTAACAAGAAGGACTGTGGTGGTCAGACCACTTCACTTCACACACCCTATAGTAACCATTCCTGCTATTACCTTGTGATGTTTTTGTGAATGATGTTATTTAAAGCCTGTAAATGTAAGACACAGTCATGCAGGACTGCCCCGCCCGACCCGCCTGGGAGTGCTTCAGTCCTGCACCGGACCTGTCCACGTTCAGCGTCCACTGGTCCACGTCCTGTAGCTAGCTTAGGTCCTAGATCATTAGCCTGTCCGTCCGGAGGAGCGGATCCCTTTCTCATATGGGTCTCCCTCCCTCTGGGTTTCCCTAGTTCTCCCCAAGGTTTCTCACTTTTTCCCACTGGGTTTTTTAAGAGTTTTTCCTTGTCGATGCAGGAGGGTCTTGTTGGACAGTTAGTGTCCAACAGAAAGGATTGGTGATGATCAGGACACTTTAGCATTCTACAACATGTATGGACATTTTCTTCTGTGTGTGCTTTATATTCTCCATGTGTTTTAACTGTTGATTCTCTGACCTGTGTTGGTGATTTCAATGGTTTTGTTAAGTCCTCTGAGATGACTTCTGTTGTGACCTAGGGCTATACAAGAATAAATTGTTTTGTTTTGTTTTGTTTTGTATCCATCTACATTGAAATCAGTTTAAATGAACATAACACCAGCCTGCCCAGGGACTACAGGTGGAAATTAGCATCTTTGCTATAACCTGGTGCATGCATCTCTCCTTTTGTGTTAATGTTTAACTGTACACTGTCCCTGTTCAAATAAAGTACATACAATACAATACAATACCTACTCATATCCGCCTCCCTTTCTCAGCTTTATATCTCCCACTAGCGCACACACTCACACAAACACACACACAAACACACACACACTTACCCTACCCTAACTCCCCCAGCTGTACCTGTGTTGTTTATAGTTCTACTGTAACCAACAATGTATTATACTCTTATCTGTATTTTGTGTCTTTTCCTGTATGCTTGTCACTCAAAAAAGGACTGTGGTGATCATCTAGGACACTTTAACATTCTACAACATGTATGGACATTTATCAACATTCATGGACATTGGTCTCTCTCTATGAACCAATACCTATGTGTTCTATATTTTTGTATCTTAACTGTTGATTTCAGAATAAAGTGAATTGAAGTGAATTGAATAAAAAGAAAGGCATCTTTCCCAGTTGCAATAGATAAATAGAAAAACACTAACCCTAAACACGTTACATTTTAAAGACGGCATTTTGGTTTATGTGTGTTCCACTTTATGGGCTGTCTTTTAAGGTTACAGTTCTTAACACAATAATAAAGCATTATCCACTTTTTAAAAAGCCAGTGTAGTTTTGTCAATAAGTCATTATCTAACATTCACACACTTTCTCTAAAGCAATGGAAAGAAGCTATTTCCAGACTGATTCAAGTTTGTTTACAGAGATGACAGTATACCACTTCACTCCAGTTATTAATACTACAAAGAGCATCATAAAATGACTCTAAATCTAAAGGTTTCGTTTATAATAGTGAGATATCCGGCAGCTCTCTTTGCTGCGTGTTTAGAGAAAAGAAACTTTTCTAACATGATATGTCTAATAAATGACCTTCATTGGCCCCAGTTCAGGCCTTTACAGTATTTGTATAGCAGAATACAAAAATAGACAAGGCAACTTAAATTTCAGATCACTTTGGAATTACTTGTGAACTTGAAACTGGATTAGCTTCATTATAACTATTCTGGAAAAGTAAATAAGTTAATGCTTAAGTATACCTACTGTAACTTTGTAACCACAAAAAACTCACTATGGAACAACATCAATGCAACTAGTTCCTAGTTTTCAAAATAGTTTGATTCTATCACTACTGCTCACATGCATGTGCAGTACTTTCAGGATTATTATGCACACCGCACCAACTGAATTTGAAAATAAAGTTGTTTTTTAACCGCATACTGGCTGAATTCGAAATATTAGCCTTGTTGTATTGTAACACTGTACCAACAGCGGTGGTTTTGCTAACTGGACACAACATGATTGAAAGATGTGCTTTAACCATGGATCTATTATAATATCTGGAAAGAGTATTACTGGCTTGGAGCTGAAGGACCCATGTGCTCTGGGGATTCTTTCGGTACTGCAGATTAAACAAGGCTAAATTCACGTATAGGCTACCCAGAAATTTTCCCCATAGAACTGTGGACCCCTGGTAATTTGTGATAATCGCGTAGGACGTCTGAGATCTTGCAGTGCATTCACACAGGATAAGCAATGTCTGTAATTTTCACTGACATCTCACATAACGGCCGCACGTACAGCAGCTACAGGGACCATGAAGACAAACACATATGTAAATGTAGATTTTACTGCTCTACAGTTCTATGGCCCGTATTGTCTGCAATGTTAAACTATGCTGTTTGTACGGACTACCCGTGAACGCACCAGATACTCTGTTAACATACGCGCAAGCCGATAAACAGTAACGGCTGAATCAACACGTCTGTACTGTATTACCACAGAGTACAGAGTAAAAGTACGAACGCAACCCAGTCTGATCAGTCTGATCATTTAGTGTCAGTTAACAGATTACACTGTCCTCTACACTTCTCCATAGAGCTCACAGAGACAACAGCAGCCGCGATACGCAACTCCTCTGCTCATTGACAAAAAACAACGCAAAAAGTAAAGCGAAAGCGGCAATAACGATCACAATCACTGACATGTAGATTTGCACGGAATTAGTATTATCGCAGGACGTCTGCGTTTGGACAAATACAGGAGGTCATTCGCACCAGACTAAGATCTCAGAGGTCCTCTGTGATGATCACAAATGACCATGTAATACTAATCCTGTCCGAATAGGGCTTGAAACAGCTCGACCTCAGCTGACAGAGAACCTACAACTTTTATAAAGGATCGGATTTTGTGGGGATTTTAGTGTCCCTTGTAATCCTGAACTTTTTTCTTCTTAAATCTAGAGCTGCTCTAGCACAGCTAATTTTTATGAATTGAATTGAATGAGCTTAAGGCTTAATCTTCATACAGTCTATGATAATACCTGGACTTCTCATATGAAACACAGCATGCATGTGTGCAGTAGTTACCGAGGAAGGCGGAGGGGGAGACCGTGCCATTGCTCCGGGACACCATGACGCTGATGCCCGTCTCCACGAAGGGCACGGAGAAGTCGATGACCTCAGACCTCTCCTCATTGATGGTGAGCGAGCCAACAGCCATCTCTGCCTTCTTGTAGACCACCTGCACCCACAACGCACTCGGTCAGAGGGGCCATATGTGCACAAGCCGTGTTCCCACTAAATACAGTGGGTCACGACAGGCTTGTAGTTTGGATTTTTTTCCTGAATGACCACAACAAAAGTGAAAGCACAATTATATACCACTATTGTTATAAAGAGTGTGCACCAGTATTCATACAGCAAGTGCTGTACTTCGAGAAACCCCCATTTTTTAACATAGTCATACCCCAAATAACATTTGGGGTATGACTGTACAAAAGTTGCACATCCACAGACTAATTTTTTGTGCATTTCTCTTACAGATTTTCCATGTCAGATTAGGTGAATTTTGTTTTCATTTGTGTTGTGTTCTTTTAAATCCTTCATTGGTATGAAAAGGATTTATGTTTAGGGAAACAGCGTGATGGTAGGTAAACCTTGATAAATGGTTTTGTCTTGGTAACTTTTCAGTGGTAAACTTACCATTTTGGAATAATAGATTGAACAGTGATACGTTGAAAGTTTTTTAATCTTTATAAATTAAAAATAAGTCAAAGATTGCTCAAATTTGGCATAATGTATCTTAATTTGAGCACATTTTGACTGCCTTAAAACATCTTGGAAGAAAAAAAAGCAATAGTTCTTGAAAAAAGACTAAATGACTTTGTCCCATTTGCAAATGTTGTTCAAATCTTGTCAGAATGTACTCAAACTAAGATAAAAAAAACACTTGATTCAAGCAATTATTACCTCATATGTTTGTAACTTTTTTCAGTGTGGAATTAAACTGTGCCTCATGGCAAATATCTGTGCTCTCATATTGCTTTACTCATAATTGTTAAATGAGTACTCGAGTAATGCAATTTGCAGAGGTCACAAGGTGCAGTTGTTGGGTTTAGGACTTCCACAGAATATGGAACTGGCCTCTGCGCCCATGATCTGATGTGTTTGGATGGTGGAGTGCAGAGGTGCTGGGCCCAAATGTCAGACATGCTCACAGGGCTTATGCTTCTCACTGAAACCAGACCACCCTTGTCTTATTTACAGCGCCAGTGTTTGTGCTCTTGAACGCATCATGACAGACGGATGTGCCACTCACAAGCCGCTCCCAGCACTCGATCATGAATATATTCCTGGGATTCTCAGAAAAGAGCAGAGACATACAAATCAACACAAGTGACGGCTCAATTCAAGAAGATGAAGTGGTTTTGACAAGCAGATAATTATTCAAATCCAATTATTTAATATTTCAAAAGGCATTATTAAATCATGCTCTATACGAATACATCTTTAACTGATAACAGTAGTTCATCCGAGATATTTGAATATCAAAATTAGTTTTACGACCCCTAAAAGTTGTTATTGTTTTCATTTCAATGTCCCACCCTTCGCCGCTTCACCAATCAGGAAATACGTGCTCCGGGTTGCCAGAACTCCCCGCGGCAGTTAATCTCAATGGTAAAATAACATGTGGCCGCAGAACTAAAAAAGGTCTTGTCATGATTCTCAAATCATTAATGACAAAACAAAGACTAAAACGAGGATTTAAATCGGGACGCCTTTGAAAAATCGAGACAGCGAATACAACTTTTTGTGTGATGCAAAACTTGCTGCTTTGAGTGCTTTCTTCATTGACAGTAAAATTAGCTCCCTCCACAGTAACATATTTCACGTGTAATGGTGGCCTCATGGTTAAGCAATAGAGCTTACATTCTGGCAACCTAATCCGGGTTGAGTCTGTTTGTATTTAATAGCATAATATTACATTTCATGACAGATTGCTCAAAATCAGGTAAAAGATAATAATCAAGCCGTTTTTTGCAGATTATAGCTTAACTGTAAAAAGAGTAATTTGAGACCTCATGAACCCCAATAAAAAAAATGTCAGTCTCTTTTTGATGTAGGAAAATTGAAGGGTATGTCCTCTGGAGGAAACCCTGATGTTGATACGCTGAAAAAATATATTCCAACATCCATTCTTCCCACTCCTATTTTGGACATCAATTGCTTATTTATTTTGCATCCATGTTTAATTAAATTGCTTTTATTTTGTTTTTTTCATCTCAAATGTCCAAATAAAAAAAATAAAAAAACATTCAATCAACATTAGCACGGCTCATGGCAATGTGAATGGAGACAGACAAACAACTGATAACATAATTCCCTATGTTTGCTGCTGGATTTGGTGTGTATCTGGCAACCTGAGTCAGGGAGAGTGGGAGAGGACTACAAAATATTGATTTATTTCTAAACTTTCTAACTGGATTAGTTGCGATTACCCATTTAAAGAGACAGTATATACTATCTTCATATCAAATTTCAGATCATATTTGACCTTTTCTGAACAAAAGTGTAAAGCAGAGTTTAATGAAAATCCATATTCATTTATTTTGACATTTTATTTACTTGGCACGTTACCATACACAATATATATACATGTTTAGAATCCTGGGCGTCCCACAAGAGAAATGCACTTTTATACATACAAACCTGTGAATAGGTCTTTGATATAATAGGGAAAAAAAAGTAATTTTTTGTTGCTGTAATTCAATATGTCAAGGAGTTTGTCATTTGAGTCTTTCTTAAAGTTTTTCCGCCGAGCACACACCACAGTCACATTCCACGTCCACAGCACGCATCAAAAACATCCCTTCTCCAAAAGCTGATCAAAGAGAGCCTCGGCTGCCTCCTCCGCGAGCGCTTTCTAATTGTGACAATTTACATAAACCAAAGGTGGGAGATGATGAGGAGAAATGTTCCGGTGCAGCAAATGAAGTAAACAAATGATCTACACCGCGTGAAAACACAGACGGAATCCAAATTCAAAACCGTGTCAGTCAGAGCGAGCACGCTCTGCTGCTGTGAGCCGTCCTGCTCCACCCAGAGGCTACTCCATCTGTGCTGCTGTGAGCCGTCCTGCTCCACCCAGAATCTACTCCATCTGTGCTGCTGTGAGCCGTCCTGCTCCACCCAGAGGCTACTCCATCTGTGCTGCTGTGAGCCGTCCTGCTCCACCCAGAATCTACTCCATCTGTGCTGCTGCGACCTGTCCTGCTCCACCCAGAGGCTACTCCACCTCTGCTGCTGTGACCTGAAGGGCTGTTGCTGATTATCACTATTATTATGTTTTCAGAATGATACATTTTATTTTAATTGTTGCAGCTACTGGACACCTGAATTTCTCCTCTGGGGATCAATGAAGTATCTCTCTATCTATCTATCGAGTGCGGGGCCATGGGCTTCAGATGCACATGTGAGCTTTATGACTCAACCACTTTGAATCAATCAATAAAGGCCACATAAACTAGTTAGCCAGGAACTCGTTAGACAAGGCAGAGCAGGGCCTCATTTAGAAATCATGAGGTACTGTATAATAAAAAAGAATAATAATGGTTGTTATGGATTATAGCTATCACACAAGTAAATGGCCGACAATAGTCAATTTTATGCTCACAGTGTGTGTGTGTGTGTGTGTGTGTGTGTGTGTGTGTGCGCACCATTTTGCGAGCAGGACACTGGGAGTAACATATCCACGTGTCAGAGTTGTGTCAGGAGTCAAGTGTAAAAGACATCTTCTCTTATTAATGATGCAGTGACCTTTAGGAGGGCACAAATGAAGCGCTCATGTGGCCCGTAAATACAGAAACACTGAGATAAAGGCTGACAAGTGTTACTGTACGCACCAGTCTGGGCCTCGCATCACAGCCATGCATATGATACAGTGTTGTATAATGAAGTAAGGAAAATGTTGCGTGCCGATTTAAATATATAAAACAATAAGAATTGTCCTCGGCGGATGCTGCATTAGTGCCCAATAAAGATGGGAGGAAACAGTATTTTTGGATTTTGGATATTTTTTGGCCATATAGATTAATTTGTTAATAAAGCTGGGGTGCCTACAACTTTGTAATACCACAAATGTGATTTTTTTTAAAACTAGTTTTCACAAGCATGCGGGTTTGGCTTCTATATGATGCAGAATGGTCTTCAAAATGTTTTAGCAATATTTTAGGGAGTGTAAAGAGGTAAGCAGTGTAAACCCAAACTGCTGTTGATACTTCAAAGAAACTCCAAAGAAATAATTTCAATATTGTGATATAGTGTGAAATCCACTACATTTAGGTCTGCAAGTGATTTTCATGTGCACATTTCACTGCATTTTTTCAATCACAGTTGACAACAAGGTTGTCTGTTGACAGCTGTAAATAAAACTCACAGAAAGGTAAGTGCATTCCCTTGATTTAAAAACATGCAGACATTCCCCTGGACAAATAAAAAAACAAACGGCACCTCTTATGGGCCACTTAAAGCACTGATATGAACATAATTCCAAAAGGAGCGTTAATTGGACTTGAGGGAACGGTAGCTTCACAAAGGGACAGTGATCATTTGGACAACTAGTAAGTAAGGACGTAAGTAATCTTTATTTATATAGCGCCTTTTACAGACCAGAATCACAAAGCGCTTGACATTTGTTGTGGGCATTTGTCTCTCACTCCACGCAGAGATGGGAGCGAGGTCGCCGAACATGAGGCGCATGCCAGACCTATTGTGCATTTTTTTTGTGGTAGGGAAAACCGAAGCACCCAGAGGACACCTACGCAGACACGGAGAGAACATGCAAAGTCCACTCAGAAAGAATCTGTTCTAAACCGGGATTAGAACCCAGGACCTTCTTTCTGAGATCTGGGCCCTGGAGAAGTTTGTAAACATTGCGGCTGATGGGAGGGAAATCTTCTCCCGCCCATTAGATCAGTGTTTTTCAACCACTGTGCCGCGGCACACTAGTGTGCCGTATGATATTGTCTGGTGTGCCGTGAGAAATTCGTCTACTTTGTCTAAAAATAGCTGCATTCGCTGTTGACGAGCGGTGACTTGTTTTGAACTGTGAGTAACCATGTAATACTTTTTCAAATCAGTAGATGGCAGCAGATAGCTAAGTACTTTGAAACTGAAAAATTGGATGCGACCACTGGCTGTAACAGGTCAGCATTGTGGCGAGAAAGGTAAAATTGGATGCGACCAACAAATGTGTGAGGGAGCGAGACAAGAGCTTTGTGGCGAGTGAGAAGTGAAAGTGATAGAGACGTTTTTGAAAATGAATTATGCCGTTTCTGAACAGGATTAACATCCTCCGCTCTGCCCCGGGGCAGCTGTGGCCGCGTTGTAGTGGTTTAACTATGAAATGTACAATTTTTGTACAACAGCTCTCGCGAACGCACTTCTGAACTGGGTACCGAGCGCAGACCGTAGTCGAGTGGACAGAACCACAGACATGCGGACCGGACAGAACCATGGACTCGCGTTCAGGACCTCCCGTGTCCCTCATCCAAAACTCCTGAATTTAAAGCTCGGATACCAAAATGTTTCCCATGCACTAACAATGCATGTTCTTTGTGTGAGTTATTATTTGACTATTTGGGCAGAGAGTGGATTTTCTTAGTTTTTTTCCACACAGTTAGTGCCACTTTATTCCCAAACTCTTGTTAATTGTATCGAGAAATATTAAATAAAGCTTAATTTCAAGGCCTGGACTTAAGCATTTTGATGAGAATAACTGTATATTGTGAATATAGGCTACAGAGTATACTGTATACATTATAAGATAAGATATACTTTATATATCACACAGAGTATGTACAGTATATATTTTTTTACATTAGTACTGTATACATTTTTACATTTTCTCCTGGAGGTGTGCCGCAAGATTTTTTCAGTGAAAAAAGTGTGCCTTGGCTCAAAAAAGGTTGAAAAACACTGCATTAGATTTTTGTCTGCAGTGTTGCCGGTGGCGTCTTGGCAAATTTGGAAACAGGCTAAAGCTACAGTAGTAATATCCTATTAAGTTGTTGTTATTGTTATCATGAGCATCTGCCATCAGTTCTACAATTTCAACAAATGTTCTCATGTTTATTCACAAACTGGGATTAATGGATTTATACAGTATGTCAATCATGTATTATTGCACTCAAATAGGTCAAAAAAACCTCTCAGAGGCCAGTGAGCTTACTCCTGTGTTCACGGACATTTTCAACTCCTCTCTGCAGTCCTGCCATGTCCCGGCCTGCTTCAAATCCTCCATCATTGTCCCCGTCCCGAAGAAGCCCAGGATCACAGGACTCAATGACTACAGACCTGTAGCACTTACGTCTGTCGTCATGAAGTCATTTGAACGCCTGGTTCTCTCCCATCTCAAGTCCCTCACCTCCCCCCTCCTGGACCCCCTGCAGTTCGCCTACAGAGCCAACAGATCTGTAGACGACGCCATTAACCTGGCCCTCCACCACATCCTACAGCACCTGGACTCCCCGGGGACCTACGCCAGGGTCCTGTTCGTGGACTTCAGCTCTGCCTTCAACACAATCCTGCCATCCCTGCTCCAGGACAAGCTCTCCCAGCTCAACGTGCCCGATTCCACCTGCAGGTGGATCACTGACTTCCTGTCGGACAGGAAGCAGCGAGTGCGTCTGGGGAAGAATGTCTCGGACTCTCGGATTATAAATACAGGAGCCCCACAGGGCTGTGTTCTTTCTCCCCTGCTCTTCTCCCTGTACACCAACCACTGCACCTCCAGCCACGACTCCGTGAAGCTGATCAAGTTCGCGGACGACACCACCCTCATTGGACTCATCTCCAACAACGATGAGTCCGCCTACAGGAGGGAGGTGGACCGGCTGGTGTCCTGGTGCAGTGGTAACAACCTGGAGCTGAACGCCCAGAAGACAGTGGAGATGATTGTGGACTTCAGGAAGAGCACTGTCCCCCCGCCCCCACCCTCCGTGATGGACTCCCCCATCACCTCTGTGGAGTCCTTCCGTTTCCTGGGCACCACCATCACCCAGGACCTCAAGTGGGAGCCGACCATCAGCTCCCTCATCAAGAAGGCCCAGCAGAGGATGTACTTCCTGCGGCAGCTCAGGAAAGCCAAGCTGCCTGCACAGATGTTGGTGCAGTTCTACACGGCCATCATCGAATCCATCCTCACCTCCTCCATCACCGTGTGGTTCGCTGGAGCCACAGTCAGGGACAAACAGAGACTACAGCGCATTGTGCGCTCTGCAGAGGAAGTGATCGGCCGCAGCCTTCCATCGCTGCAGGACCTGTACGTCGCCCGAGCTCGAGGCCGGGCTGGTCGTATCACAGCCGACCCCTCTCACCCTGCACATGGACTATTCCAACCACTCCCCTCAGGCAGGAGGCTGCGGTCCATCAGGACTAGAACCTCCCGCCACAAGAACAGTTTCTTCCCCTCTGCTGTTGGACTCTTGAACACTTCTTAACCTGTCCCCCCGCCCTTTATAAAGTCACTTTACTGCCCATCATACGTCACTTTACTTCACTGTACTGCTGTCACCTTACATTGTGTGCACCATGTGCACTTGTATATTGTAAATAGTAACTGTAACTCTATTTTAAATTTAAATTTATTCTTTAGAAGTGTTTTTTATTCTTATTTTTATTATCTCTTTTTGACTGTTGCACTGAGCCAAAGCAATTTCCAAGTCTGTGACCTCCCGTTACTTACGTTGGCAATAAAAATGATTCTGATTCTGATTCTGATTTAAGAGGTGCTCACTACTATTGCATGCAGATGTGTCAAACCCCCTTATCACAAGCGCACAAAGACAGATCAGCAGCAGTGGTCATACCTCTCCTACCATGCCGTTCCACATATTATTAATCTTCTTGCCATGTTTGCCGTTGGTGACCAGGTAGAGGTCGTATGTGAACTTGACGTTACGGGCGATCTTCTTCAGAATGTCTATGCAGAAGCCTTTGCAGCACTGCTTCACGTAGGCCCCTCCTGTCGTGCTGTTACTGTGGACACAAAGCAATATGCAGTGGTCAGGAACCAGCACTCACCTTGTGCATTAGTGAAAAAGGGTGTTACACACAATACAAGAACAACATAATCCATTCTTTGTGTTAAGCACTGACTTTGATTGGAAACATTGAGCCCTTTTCCTCACCCACAACATTATTTTGACATCTATTTTGACCCAGTGTGGTCTTCTGCTGCTGTAGCCCATCTGCCTCAAGGTTTGAAGTGTTCTGTGTTCAGAGAGGCTCTCTTGCATACCTTGGTTGTAACAAGTGGTTATTTGAGTTACTGTTGCCTTTCTATCAGTTCGAACCAGTCTGGCCATTCTCCCCATCAACAAGGCATTTTCGCCCACCGAGCTGCCACTCACTGGATATTATTTCCTTTTCGGACCATTCTCTGTAAACCCTAGAGATAACATCTCAGTAAATCAGAAGTTTCTGAATTACTCAGACCAGCCCATCAAGCACCAACAACCATGCCACGTTCAAAGTCACTTAAATCACCTTTCTTCCCCATTATGATGCTTGGTTTGAACTGCAGCAGATCATCTGGACCATGTCTACATGCCTAAATGCATTGAGTTGCTGCCATGTGATTGGCTGATCAGAAATTTGCATTGAAGTGGAGTTGGTTAGGTGTACCTAATAAAGTGGCCGGTGAGTGTATATTACTTATGGTTTTTTTATATATTTAGTATGTTTAAAATCTTTATAGTGATCGAAAACAATGGAAAGGTTCTGACTTGTTGTTTTATTACGTGTTCCTGAACACGTCATTGATGTGCCATCAACAGTGGTCACTTAAAATGCCCCGCTCTGCATCAAGTACATCAAGTCAAGGGAGCCGCCTAACGGCTCGTACACACCGCAAGCACAGCGTTACAAGTGACGAGTGCCTCTCCTCGGTAGAGGAGGCTCGCGTCACGCGGGCTGTGTACACGCCAGTAGAGCGTGGATGGACGTGACTGCTATCCTCCCCTTATGGCATTGTATTTTTGAACATTGTATTTCTTGTGTTTGAACTGTTTGATTCTCTGTGCTGGCGAATCTACAACTTGGTATAGTTCTCAAAGATGACTACTGTTGTGATTTAGGGCTAAACAAAAATACATTGAATTGAAGTTCACAATCAGCTGACTTTTTGGTCTTTCTGATGGGCAATAGGAGTCAGTAAAACAGTGGGGGCAGCATTGGTGTCTACCCTTGTATTGTGTAGTATGGCATTAGGGGACAACCCACACAACAAAACACTATAATTCACATATGACACACAATTCCTCAAACTGTCGGTGAATCACAAATCCTCTTCAGCCAAAACGGTTGAGTTGAATCAAATAATTTCCATTAAATCCATTTTCCAACAAAGTCAGCTCCTGTAGCGACGGGTGTGGGCCGTCTTTTGATGGGGCCGGTGTAGGATAAGAGTACTAAGTCTGCGACCTTATATTTGAGCCCAGAAAGTTCACGTCGCACAGAAGAATTGGACCATCAAACGGGAAAAGATGGCAGCTGTCACAACAAAGGAGTCGGAAGGAAACACGGCGTCAATTTTCACACAGGAGAGTGTTTGTGTGTGGGCATGTGGCCTGAGAAAAAAATTGTTCAAGTTAAACCATTAGTTCTCTTTTCTGAAAACACTTTGGATCTATCACAAGTTTTCATATGCATGTTTGCAAGAAACTTCAGGCAGAAAGAGAAAATGCATTAATATTTTGACCCAAAGCTTCAAATAGTGACTGAGGGGCCCATATGGAAAAGTTGCAAATATAATATATAATAAAAGTCCCATCACATTTTATATGACTTTTGTATGACGTTTGTATGCTTATTTCCTGACATGTTTATGATTATTTCCGTAAAGTGGCACCTTTTGCACATCTTTCATGTATGGCAAACAAGACTGTTTTATGTTGTTAATATACAAATTGTCAATGTCAATGTCAACTTTATTTGTATAGCACATTTACAACAACACCATCTGCCCGAAGTGCTTCATAGGCACGGAAGCTAAAAAATAAAATAAAACAGCATGAAGTACATTCACATACGTGCAAAAGTAAAAAAACAAAAAAACAATTGGTGTTAAAAGCCAAGGCGTAAAAATGACTTAACAACTTACAATGTAGGAGCTGCTCTAATGAACAGAGGTAGAGGAGACCGGGGCACGTTCAGCAAAAGCTGGTTTTCGGAACTCACTGATCAGACAGGAGCATACAGAGATACTGTAACACAGGGGTGCTCAATACGTCGATCGCGATCTACCAGTCGATGCAAAGGTAGTATTGGAAGATCGCATTACATATATATATTTTTTTAATCCGTTTATGCATTTGCGTGTGGACAGAGATAACCGGAGTTTTGCGTTTTTGCACGGCACAGTTTGCCCCCAAAACAACAACAACAACAAACAAAACGTGCGACCTCTGATCACTAAGCCTTAACAGCGGTTCACAGCAGCGATCCTCGCTCCACATCAGAGAGCAGCAAAGTGATCACACACGCTCGAAAACAACCAAAACAGGAGCTAAACCAGGATCAAACCAGGGCTGAGGACTGGGGTCAATGCTTGTAAACATATGTCTTCACCATGGATCTATAATAACACGTCTTCACCCTGAGTTTCTACTATGACAGTGCCGCTACAGAACGAAAGTTACGAATGTAACTTTTGTTCTATGAATCCTGGATGACCGCCAGAGGCGGTGCTTAAATGCAAATTATTTCATAAATCATGCGGTTTTGCATGTACATCAACATACATTGTAGATATAAAGAATCCTCAATATATTTAGAAATATATATATGTTTTGCATTTTTATAGTAGGTAGATCATTTTGACTTGATCATTTTATAAGTAGCTCGCATGCTGAAAAAGTGGGAGCATCCCTGCTGTAACAGCTCTGACAGATATACAGGGGCCAAACCATTCAAACATTTAAAAACCAGCATCAAAATCTTAAAATCAACCCTGAATGTAACATGGAGCCATTGAAGTGAGGCCAGCACGGGGGTAATGTGCTCTCGCTTAAGTGTCCCTGTCAGTAAGCAAGCAGCAGCATTCTGCACCTGCTGAAATCACTTCAATGAGCTGAGGTCCAGACCACAGTACAACGAGTTGCAGAAATCTAACCTAGAAGAAATAAAAAGGTGGATTACTCGCTCAAAGTCAGTGGGTGGGAAGTAAGCCTTCACTTTGCTCACGACCCGGAGTTGATAGAAGCTGGCTTTGATCACTGCCTTAATTTGCTTGTCCATCCTGAAGGTGTTTCAAAAAAGTCTCCCAAGTTTCTAGCCGAGGAATGGGCATGAGCAGTGGATGAGTGAGGTCGACAGGGAGGCTGGAGCTAAAAGCTACTATTTTAGTTTTATTCTTGTTGAGAATAAAAAAATATTGGGCCAGCCAAGTTTTTACTTCCTGGAGACAATCTAGCAGTGTTGTGTTTGGCACTGAGAGGGGATTTAAAGGCAGGTAGATCTGCAGGTCATCAGCATAAGCATGAAAGGAGACATTGTGTTTTTTTTTTTTATCGCCAAGTGGCAGCATATATATAGAAAAAAGGGCAGGGCCTAAATTGGAGCCCTGTGGAACACCACAATTGAGGAGGGCCAGACTAAACTTGTAGGGCCCAAAGTGGATACTAAAACACCTGTCACCAAGATAGGACCTGAACCAGTTTAATGCAGTGCCTTTAAAACCAGCGTAGTGCTCCAAAACGCAAAATTAAAATGCTGTGATCTACAGTGTCAAAAGCAGCTGTCAAATCTAAAAGAACTAAAATGGCAGGAGAACAAAAGCCAGCTGTTAAAAGCAGATCATTGAAAACTCTAAGCAGTGCAGTGTCCGTGCTATGCAGAGCTTTAAAACCTTATTGAAATGTGTGAAAGGTGCCATTTGTGTCCAGATGCTGTTGAAATTGATTAAGAACAGTTTTCTCCATGACTTGATAGGCCTGTAATTAGCAAGAACAGTGTTGCCCAAGGTGGGTTCTTAAGAAGTGGCAGAACTACAGCTTGCTTAAAAACACATGGAACACAGCCAGATAAAATGGATGCATTGGTAAAATGCAAGGCCCAACAACACACCAAAAATACTTTTTAAAAAATGTGCAGGAACAGTATCCAGTGGACAATAGGACGGTTTAAGATGCTGGACGACTCATTGAAAGATACAGGCGTGAACTCATCAAAGGTATCAGACACAGTGTTTACAATGGGCTCAGTGACACTTAACAAAACAGGTGAAATCCTAATGTGCAATACTTTGTTAACAAAAATTTACAGGAAATCATTACACAAAGGTTCCGATGGACTACACCAGATGAGGGCACAGGGTAAACCAAACCATTCAAAACATTAAAAAGAATCTGCAGTCTATGGCTTTTCGTTTGAATAAAATTGGACATATATTGAGCTTTTGAAGTCTTAACAGCTTGTTGATACTTGGCAAAACAGTCTCTATATATTCCAAGGGAGACGTGCAACTTGTCCTTTTCCCATTTACACTTTGCGCGCCTGCACTTGTGTCTGAGTGCACCCGTGTCCTTGTTGAGCCAAGGCTCTGACGCAGGCTTTTCGCACTCGCACACCAAAGGAGCAATTTTGTCCAGACTGGTCAAGTCAAATGCCTCTGTAAGCTCCTCTGCATTCACTGTACTGGACGGGGCAGTGAGCGGGGAAGGCACTGATGAAAGAAACGCTGCGGAGAAATCCTCCACTGACAGTGGCGTGAAGCGCATTCTGTGCGCACGGGGATAACGGCGCTGTTTTTTTTATTTTTATTTCAACTTAAAACCATACATGAAAGGACAGGACAACAGACATCAACAAGGCACAAAAAACAAAAACAAATACACCTTCAAACAACACACACACACACACACACACACACACACACACACACACACACACACACACACACACACACACACACACACACACACACACACACACACACACACACACACACACACACACACACACACACACACACACAC